GGAGGAGCAAGTTTGGACATCCTGCCTCTGTTATAATTAGTGCTATGTGATGAGAATGGCATAATTAGGCTTATAAGGAACTGGCAATTGGGTGACCTTAGGGATACACCATTAAGCTGATTCTCATAATTCAGCTTAAGTAGTGGAGCTTCCCTTGTAGCTCAGTCGGTCAAGAATCTGCCTGCAGTGCAGGAGACATGGGTTCAATCCCTGGGTTGGGAAGATCCCCTGGAGAAGGAAATGGAAACCCACTCCAGTATCCTTGCCTGGAAAATCTCATGGACAGAGAAGCCTGGTGGGCTGCAGTCCATGGGGTCACAAAGAGTCAGGCACGACTGAGCAACTAACACTTATTTACATCTTTAGTCAACATGCTTCAATTGTGCTGCCGTCGCTAATGGAGAAGTAGGGAGAGCCTGTTTGCTGGCAAGAGAGATCTTGAATGCAAGTTGATATCATGATTAAAGATATGGCCTAAGCTAGGGGTTCTTAACCTGGATCCTAGGGAAATTTTGAGCCTCTGAAGTTATATTCAGAAGTGTGTAGATGTGTGTATAATCCAATTTTGTAGATAGAAGTACCACAGCTTTCTTTAGATTTTTCATAGTGGTCTTTGACACCAAAATAGTCACCAATCACAAGTAGATTTACTGTGAAGTGAGTTCAGCTGCTTCTTCAGAGATTCTCACTTGGGATTCTTCCAAGGCTCTTGAAGGAGTCCTAGCATTTTTGTATTGTTTTTACTTAAAGGGAATATTCCTCTCAAATCACATAAAGTCTTTGTACCCACAAAATCTGTATCTACCCCTGCCAACCACAGATTAGGAAACTACCCAACATGAGTTAGTATCTGGGAGTGAATGCCATCCAAGAGAAATGAATGCCAAAGACTGCTAGGAAAGGAAAGGCAGAATAAGAAATGCCCATCAAATAAAGAATGATTACTTAGGGAGGAGGAGGATCAGACCACATTGTCAAGGAAACAGAAAGAGAGGTGTTTAGCCAAGTTCAACATGGATGGGAGATCAGGAAAGAGGAAAATAAGAAAATGATTACAGGAGTAGCTGGGTGATCAGTGGTGATCAGTGGACTGGCTGGAACAGAAAGCTGAGTGTTTTGTTTGCCTTTCTGGACAAGTAAAAGTGGTAGTTGAACAATTATAAGTGGTAGTTATGGTCTATAAACATGCAAGGGAAGTAGAAGTACCTACAGAAAATGCTAATCTTCATTGTTCAGTTAAAATGATAGTCAATAAAATAGATTCACTGTAAATCTGGAATCTATACCCAGTTGAATTTAGATGGCACATACATACTTTTCAAAATGAGTCCTAAATGTGTTCTATGGCCAGGCAAAGACTTTGAGTGACCCTTGTCCCCCTAACCCACTCCCCCCCCACCACCTCAACCTTTCTTTCCTAATCTTGTATCTTAATCCTCTTACTTCTTGAATTTCCGTATTTGTGTGCCATATCTCTGTCCTCTGGCTGGCGAAAGGGAGCAGTGAGAGAGTCGAAAGAGAAAAGAAGCTGTAAGAGTGACCATTGGATATGAAATGTTTTGAATTTAAAATTTATCCTGGGTAACCCACAGAACCAGTAATCCATTATGGTTAATTGAATGTTGTCTAAAATTCAGAGCAAGGAAACATCTATTTGAAACAGAATGTTCTAAATTTACCACCCTGGCAACTCTAAAGTTGATTGGTTTCAATTGGGCAAAACTGGTTCATGCTGACTTACCCAGTATTAGGAGGGTATTATTTTTTTGACTGTGAAATACAGCCATAGCAGAGATACATACTCAAATTTGCTGATATATAAATGCCATCTTACAGTGTTTCCACAATAATTTCCTCCTGGGATTATTTTTGAGATAGACTAATTTCATTACAGTTCCCAAATTTATTTCTTCAGTGATTATTCCTTTAAAGTTTTTTGATTTATTAACTATTGAAGTATTTGTTCATAATTGTGTCACTATGGAAAATCTGTTACTTGAGGACAATGATTTTGAATGACTACTATGACAAAATTTATAAGGACATGGAAAAATACCTATAAACTCTTGGAATTGGTTTGAGGTTTCTAGTTCAGTTCAGTCTCTCAGTTGTGTCTGACTCTTTGCCACCCCATGGACTGCAGCACACCAGGCCTCCCTGTCCATCACCAACTCCCAGAGCTTACTCAAACTCATGTCCATTCAATCAGTGATGCCATCCAACCATCTCATCCTCTGCTGTCCCCTTCTCCTCCCACCTTCAATCTTTCCCAGCATCAGGGTCTTTATAAATGAGTCAGTTCTTCCCATCAGGTGGCCAAAGTATGAGAGTTTCAACTTCAGCATCAGTCCTTCCAGTGAATGTTCAGGACTGATCCTTTAGGATAGACAGGTTGGATCTCTTTGCTGTCCAGGGGACTCTCAAGAGTCTTCTCCAACACCATAGTTCAAAAGCATCAATTCTTCAGCACTCAGCTTCCTTTATAGTCCAACTTTCACATCCATATATGACTACTGGAAAAACCATAGCCTTGACTAGACAGACCTTTGTTGGCAAAGTAATGTCTCTGCTTTTTAATATGCTGTCGAGGTTGGTTATAACGTCTTTTAATTTTATGGCAGCAGTCACCATCTGCAGTGATTTTGGAGCCCCAAAAAATAAAGTCTGTCACTGTTTTCCATTGTTTCCCCATTTATTTGCCATGAAGTGATGGGACCAGGTGCTTACTCCTTGGAAGGAAAGTTATGACCAACCTAGACAGCATATTAAAAAGCAGACAGAGGCATTACTTTGCCAACAAAGGTCCATTTAGTCAAGGCTATGGTTTCTCCAGTGGTCATGTATGGATGTGAGAGTTGGACTGTAAAAAAAGCTGAGCACTGAAGAATTGATGCTTTTGAAATGTGGTGTTGGAAAAGACTCCTGAGAGTCCCTTGGACTGCAAGGAGATCCAATCAGTCCATCCTAAAGGAGATCAGTCCTGGGTGTTTATTGGAAGGACTAATGCTGAAGGTGAAACTCCTGTACTTTGGCCACCTGATGCAAAGAGCTGATTCATTTCAAAAGACCCTGATGGTGGGAAAGATTGAGGGCAGGAGGAGAAGGGGATGACAGAGGATGAGATGGTTGGATGGCATCACTGACTCAGTGGACATGGGTTTGGGTGAACTCCCGGAGTGGTGATGGACAGGGAGGCCTGGCATGCTGTGGTTCATGGGGTCGCAGAGTCAGACACAACTGAGCAACTGAACTGAACTGATGGGACCAGATGCCATGATCTTAGTTTTCTGAATGTTGAGTTTTAAGCCAACTCTTTCACTCTCCTCTTTCACTTTCATCAAGAGGCTCTTTAGTTCTTCTTCACTTTCTGCCATAAGGGTGGTGTCATCTGCATATCTGAGGTTACTGATATTTCTCCCGGCAATCTTGATTCCAGCTTGTGCTTCATCCAGTCCAGCATTTCTCATGATGTACTCTGCATATAAGTTAAATAAGCAGGGTGACAATATACAGACTTGACGTACTCCTTTCCTGATTTGGAACCAGTCTGCTGTTCCATGTCCAGTTCTAACTGTTGCATCCTGACCTGAATATAGGTTTCTCAAGAGGCAGGTCAGGTGGTCTGGTATTCCCATCTCTTGAAGAATGTTCCACAGTTTGTTGTGATCCACATAGTCAAAGGCTTTGGCACAGTCAATAAAGCAGAAGTACATGTTTTTCTGGAACTCCCGCTTTTTCAATGATTTAACGGATGTTGGCAATTTGATCTCTGGTTCCTCTGCCTTTTCTAAATCCAACTTGAACATCTGGAAGTTCATGGTTTGTGTACTGTTGAAGCCTGGCTTGGAGAATTTGAGCATTACTTTGCTAGTGTGTGAGATGAGTGCAATTGTATGGTAGTTTGAACATTCTTTGGCATTGCCTTTCTTTGGGATTAGAATGAAAACTGACCTTTTTCAGTCCTGTAGCCACTGCTGAGTTTTCCAAATTTGCTAGTACATTGAGTGCAGCACTTTCACAGCATCATCTTTTAGGATTTGAAATTGTTCAACTGGAATTCCATTACTTCCCCTAGCTTTGTTCATAGTGATGCTTCCTAAGGCCCACTTGACTTCTCATTCCAGGATGTCTGGCTCTAGGTTACTTATCACACCATCATGTTTATCTGGGTCATGAAGGTCTTTTTTGTGTAGTTCTTCTATGTATTTTTGCCACCTCTTCTTAATATCTTCTGCTTCTGTTAGGTCCATATCATTTCTGTCCTTTATTGTGCCCATCTTTGCATGAAATTTTGTTTCTAGGAACAACCTGAAATTAATTCAGTAAAAAGCAGCAATTTGTTCTTATTTTTTGTTTTTTTACTAGCAATGTTCTGGGTATGATATGATTTAAAACATTTTTAATAATAAAGAGAGACTTGCAACATTATTGATTTGCAAGAATATTCTCACTGAAAGAAGAAATATTCTCACTAAGTGTCTGTTAAGATATGCTTTGTAATGTAAACATGTAAATTTTAAAAGTTCTAGTTACTTGATATTTAGCTATGGTTTAACATAGAAACACTTATGGATAAAAAACTTATAGATAGTTTAAGCACTTTTCTATTCATTCTTTCTAATAGTAAAGCTTAATTTTACTTGAGTTTAATGAATTTCTTCTTTAGTAGGTGATATTTGATTCAGCAAAGCCAGTTAAATACAATCTACCTGGATACCTGTTGATTATATCATTAGACTGGCAAAAGATATAAATCAATTTGACTACAAGTTTTGTTTGAATTGGATTTGGGAATTTGTAAATTATTTGGACCTGACATTTTGTCCAACACTCAGCAACTTATTTAGTTAAAATTATAAATTCTGGAGTTAAATATTGTTATAATTGCAGTGGTCTCAATTGTCATTCAGCTTTGTAATTATTTTGATGAACCTAACTGTACAACTTATGGATGCCAAAACTTTATCTCAAATAAATACATGTTAACATTTTGCCTTTAGCCAATAAGAAGAAAGAGAAAGAGCGCCCAGAGATCTCTCTTCCTTCAGACTTTGAACATACGATTCATGTGGGGTTTGATGCAGTCACCGGGGAATTCACTGTAAGTAAGCTTCTTATTTTGTTTTGTAAGGCATGAAAAAATTCCTTTGTGAAAATCAGTTTCAAGGAAGAATTGCCACGTCCCAAATTATCAGACTTGATGTCTTTGGTGATTTCAAGGAAGATGGACTTTGCCTAGACTTTCACAGGTGGAACTAGAGAGTGGCTTTAGAATTGGCAAAATTATTTTGTTCATCATGACAAAAATGTCTACTTGTGGTTAGCCTTCAACTTGATTGAAAATGCTAATTCGCCATGGCACAGGAAGCATAGTCTAGATAGACCCAACTTGAGATTGTTCTTTATCACGTGAAGTGAATCAGAGAATCATTGACTCAACTTGGCCAATGAAGACAGTCTATCTGAATAATTCAGGCTTTACATTGGAACCTGGATTACCTAGATAAATTAACCACACTAACCAAAAATCTCTGTAAAATCGACCTTTTTTTCCCTTTGATTTCAAGAACATAGGCTTATATACAGGTATATTTTATAGACATTCAAAACAACAAAACTCATATTTCAGGAAGAAATATTGATGGGTGTATTGTGTGCTTTAGTGGTTATATACTTACTCTATATTTGTATATATATAATATTTGTATATATACTATGCAAATATATATACACAATCCACAATAAATACCAATAAGAATTTTCCATAAAGGCTACAACTATAGATCCACTCTTTCTTTGGATATTGGTAGTGCCCAAATGGCACATAATCTCAGATCTATGATATTTTATGCCTGTTTTTTTTTTTTAAAGATCTGGCATTTTTCTTTTAGGTGGATGAAGGAAAAGATATAGGTAGAAATATGTCCTCAGGAAGATCAACTGCTTTTTCATACTAGTAAGGACCTCAGTCAAAATGTGCCTTCTGAGATAATGAGTAATTTTAAATACATTCTGGAGAAAACATCTTTGATGAACCATCTCCATTGATTATTGGCTTCTTATACCAGAGAGAAATTTAGAATTAAATAAGTAAATTTCCTATTTCATAACACGATGGTTAGTGAGTAGACTTTGTCATAAGATTAAATTGTTAAAAAGAAGGAACAAATTAATTTGATTTAGAGAATCAAACCATGTTTCTAAATTAACAGACAAGTTATCTTTTTCCTTAATTCTGGAAGTAAGCTGTGTGAGAATGAAATGGTAATTGATTAAACATCTTAGTCTTGCAAAGTGATATAAACTTATTGTATGTTCTCAGTAGCAAGTAGAAGAGAACATTAAGAAGTACTGACATTAAATAAAGTTGAGATAATGGTTTCACCAATTTCATCATTGACATCAGAGACATTATTTAAATGGCTTTGAATCTGAGCCCAGTCTCTGTTCTTTGCTGTATTTGAGAATATTCTGTTAGCTACACTTAGAAAATGTAACCCCACTGTCACTGCTACCACCATCATCACCACCACCAAAACCAGCAAATCTTTATATATTTGTATTTTGAATAATCTGAACAAGTTTAGATTTTAAAAAATCATAAAAAGATGACTTTTTTTCTGACGTTTGAAACAGTAAAAGCACTTAATCATCATAAGTTTTCTCTTAAAACCCTTCACTTATTTAAGAACTCTCTTTCCCAGTTTTGACCTTTTTATTTTCTATGTGCTTTTCTTCTGTTTTATTGTCTTATTTCATATTTCTCATTTCTTTTATTCTTCCTTTTTGTTTTTGGATGTGAAAATTTTCCCCTCCACTATTCTCATGTGATATAGTCTGGTTCCTTTCCAATTTTTAAATTTTTTCCACTTTTTCCTACTTGTCTGACGTCTTATGATACAATTTTTCTTTTCTTTCATTTGTTCTTTATGGGTTTTGAATGGAAGTGAAAGAAAGTGAATCACCAGCATTTTGCTGACTCTAGATCAGTCATTTTCACTTTGCTATCAATTAGAACCCAAAGAACTAATCGGAGCAGTGTGGGGGAGCAATATGTGATGGGCAGTCTTTCCAGTCATGAAAAACAGTTCAATGCAACTAAACTAAACTGAACAAGAACTTTTCCCCCTCTTCTCAAAAATCTAATATTGAAATAAAGTGTTTGATGCAGTTGTTAGAAATCCACTGAATATGGATAAGACACAGGCTAAATTTGGAAATCTGATGTACTTTATTGTCATCATGATAATCTTTTATAGCTATCTGACCCCACATTATTTTTTTAAAATACCAAGTTCTTTTTTTTTTTACCATCTTAACCTGTGATTTATGTTTTCTGGCTTTAACAATACCAAACGATAATAAGCTTTTAAAAGTCATTTTATTGGTAGGCTTTAGAATTGAGTCTTAATTGCCCCCGTACCACTAATTGATTATGTGTATGTGCGTGTGCATGTGAAGGGAGAGGGACATATTACTAAATTTGCGCACTGCAATTGTTGAGGTTGAATTTTGAGCAATTGGTTGAACTATCTAGTCCAGTTGTGTCACAAGGGCCTGTTACTTAGAATATTTGGACACTGATTTGGTGTATTGCTTGGTGCTTATCCTTTGACTAATCGGCCCGTAAAACCTTGTACACTTGATCATATGCTTGGACCCTGAGGTTAAAATTAGGTTGGGAGGTGAGATTTGGGGTATGAAACTATTACAAGTCCTTACCCTTTATCTTGCCATTTTTGTCCCAAATACTTCAGAACTCCCCCTTCCAGACCTCTAGACCTGTGACGGTCGCTTCAAGTCAATCAGAGGGAAAAATGGTATGAGTGATATAAATAATAATTTATTCTGATAAGATAAATGCTTGGCCTGTTGTATCATGCTGCCATTCTCCTGGACTACACTAGACAATCCCCAGCTTGATGTACATCTTAAGTTGTTCTTACCTACATGGTCAGGCCTTGACTGCTCCTGCTTCTGATGCTCACACGTCTAGGTCTTCATGAGCTATCTGACTTCTGGGGTTTGTACCTCAATTTGGAGTAATGAGATGGCTTTCTGTTTACATCCCTTTGTGGCATACATTCAAATTTAAGTGTTAGGTCTCATTGATGAACTGGTTTATCTCCACTTAAAAAAGGAAAAAAGACGTTATGTCAGCAGCGTAGTCACATGGTAAGTATAGTTGTCTGGAAGATCTTTTGCAGTTGACAGCAGTTATTCCTGCTGTATAGTGATCATAAGACTATTATCACAAAAGTTTAGAAGTGCCATGAGAATGTATAGTAACCGCAAATATTCTAATGATTATGGTAATGATCATGCCAGTGATGTCTGCTCTAGTGGTTATGTGCAATGCATACCTGGTTTTGTAACATTTAATAACTCCTTTGGCCATTACAGTATTAACCAAATGCTATTAATTGCACTTAGAATCAGAACTGGGATCATGCATGGGCTCCTGAGTTCAAATTTTTGGCTTAAAGCTTTAGCTTCAAATTGTGTGATGAATGCATGTAAAAGTGTCCTTTTCACTGTGCTTGGAGTAACCCCAAATGCCAGGAATCAAAGACCTGTATCCCAAATCAAACCAGTTGGGTCAAAGCATGTTTCTGTAGTGTTGTAAATAATATCTTTATTTAGACAAAGCGGTTACCTTATATCTGGTCTTATTATGTGGGAAATGGGACTTTGGAACAGCAACATTAAAATGGAGATTGTTCATAATATGGTTTGAAATGAAATGATTTCCCTTCCCTGGTCTAAATGACTAAGAAATTCAAACAGAGTCTGGCTGTGTGGGAAATCCTTAATCTATTTTTTTCTAAGCCAGCCATGACTTTAGCTCCAAAATACAGAAGAATCACTTTAATGAGGTCAAGGTTAAATTCAGCATCACGGTATAACTCTTCTTTGAATTTTAGCCATACAGACACTTCCCATGTGAAATTGAAAACGGTTCACCAGAATTGGGAACTGAAATTTGTAAGTTCATCACATGGCCACTGGCTACCTGTGATCACCCAGTTGTAAAAGACGACTTACAAATTATTGTTGAAGCTTTTCATGATGCCATCCTTCTTTCCTCCAAATTCATGTTTCTGCCTTTTAATAATTTCTCTAGCTATGTAATGGTAACTCTTACGATTGCCTATTTATGGAGGAAACATCTGACCAAAAGTGGAATTGTTGCATCCAAACTTTGGAACATTGTCGTTTTCTCTGTTTTCTGAAATCTGTTGTCCTGTAGCCTGTCCTGGCCCTTATTTAGTTAATACCTCCCTATTCTCACAACCGCCCCACTTTAGAAGGGATTACCCCCTCCCCATTCAGACCCATTGGTTTCATCTCCTCCCTCCTTCTAAGTTGTCCCACATTCTGTTTTAACTTTCTTTTCTTTCTTTATTTACGTCCATTACAGCCAGATCTCTATGGCTCACAGATGTGCCCAGGGAAGCTCCCAGAGGTGCGTCACAGGCCCAAAAGAAGCTTGCATCAAAGTGCTTCTTTGAGATGTCATAGCACTGCAGCAGCAGGTTCATGTGTGTGCAGTAGAGTTGTTGCTTGGCTTATCTCACTTTTTTGTTGTCATTCCCAAACTCTGGAGGCCCACGTCACACATTGTTTTGCCGAGACTTCATAGGACAAAGCCACGTAAATTGTGTCTAGATGCACTTCAGGAATAGTGTGTCTGTTTCTCGCTCCAAGTTGCTCTTGGAGGTTGGATAATTATGAAATGGGGGCATCCATAGGCCGAACATGTAGGAAAGGATGCAAAACTCACCTCCCAGTGTAATCTTTGCAATTCTCCTTGGTTAGAGTACCAAACACTCCCTCCTCTCTGCTCTAAATACTTTGGATGATTGCAAATTTTCACAAGGCTTTGGCTTGGTTGCCACAGTCCCCAGGTTCTATGTGGCCAATAAACGAAGTGGGGAGGAGGGGATAGAGGGAGGAGAGGAGAAAGCTGCAGGGAAAATACCCAAAGCAGCCTTTACTATTTAGCATTCCTGTGGTTATTGTTCTGCCATGATTCTGTTTTTTTCTCCTCTCAATCCTTCTTCATATTAAAGTTCTAGACCCCCCAAAAAATTGCATTTGATAATCACAAAATATAAACTGACCAAGGTTGAGGCTTTCCTTTTATTCTAAGAGATATTCTAATTACAACATGCTCAGAAACAGCTTATGTTATTCTAGCCATATAAAACCTATTGATCTGAACTATACTATGCTGTGCACAAATTTAGAGAAGTCTTGCTATGTCTGCCCTGAGTCGCCAGAAAAAAATAAGCTAAGCCGTAAACATCATTTCATGGATGAGCAGAGTTAATATGGAGGTGATTTTCATGCGCTTTTTTTTTTCTATCACAGTCATACTCCCACCCACCCTTTTTAAGTTGGATCCTAGTTTTACCTATGTGTTTTAATTAGAGAAGAGAATGATTGCATTATTAAGTTACTAACTTTAAATCTAGAGTGTAACTTCAGTTTCCCAAGTGTAATCCTACAGGTAGCATGGGCTTCTTGGTGAAGAACTTTACTGGAACATGAAAATGCAGCTGCCGAATGTTCTGAGCTGCCATTCTTTCCCTTTGGTTGTCCACAGGGAATTCCTGAGCAATGGGCACGATTACTCCAAACCTCCAACATAACAAAGCTGGAACAGAAGAAGAACCCCCAAGCTGTTCTAGATGTTCTCAAATTCTATGATTCCAAAGAAACAGTCAACAACCAGAAATACATGAGCTTTACATCGGGAGGTAAGAATAAATCTAAGATATCAAAAAGTAAAGGAGCCTCCAACTAATAAAAATAAATGAAAAAAAAAAGTAAAGGAGAAGGAATTCCCTGGTGGTCCAGAGGTTAGGACTCCGTGCTTTCATTGACATGGGCCTGGGTTCGATCCCTAGTTGGAGAATTAAGATCCTGCAAACTGTGCAGCACATCCAAAACAAACAAACAAACAACTGAAGTCATTTCAGTCTCAGAACTTCAGGATTAGAACAGAATTCCTGGAGGGCATTTGAAGACAGATCAAGCTCCTTTTCCAAATGACTTCAACATAAGTCAGCCAGAGGATAAGTTGGAAGTTGAAGTTGATGTTAGAAGATTTATGGTACTTGGGTGATTTTAGAGCTCAAACAAAGAAATTGTCCAGTGAAGTAGTAATTGTCAGTTTGGATCAGCAATCACAATTGTTGTTGTGTCTCTTCACTGGTGTGAAGACAGTCAAGTCACTTAGGATCAGGCCTTGTGATGTGTTCATGAAATAAGAGGTGTCTGGATCAAACCCTGGTCTCTTGAAATTTATTATTTTATCCCTTTGATCATTGAATTGCACCATGATGGCACAGCGCAAATTTTATGGTTGCTGGATTATTTTGATCAGACCTCAAAATTAGACTTACAAAAAAGACATATGTCTTGGTATAAGAGATCAAAATGGCTGTGTTCCTCCTGCCCTATCTCAGCTTCATTTGCTAGCATGTGATCTGGGCTTTGACATGCTGATGTCCAAATTTGCACTATAAACAACTGGAAAATATACCAAAGAATAATTTTGCATTTTGAAAAGGATAATCTGGGTTGAATCTCTAAAGCAATTTATTATTTTACATCTAAAGGAAGAAGAGAATACTATCATTACAGCTCCAGCTATAAAGAGCCCCTCCCTCTTGGCATTGGTTTTAATACATAGGGCAGCTTTGCAGAATTTGTTCTTTATTCCATGTTGCCACTGCTTTTTAACCGTTTTATTTTTATGTGTCGTATTTTCTCAGCTTACAAAGATGAGATCCTGAAATCTAGCTTAGAACTCAACAGTATCTGAGTTATTGCTGTATTCTGAAACTCACCATGTGTTTTCTTGATGTTCTCATGTTGTGACTAATAGCGTAGGAAGGGGAGGGAAGGAACAGAAGGGGAAAAGAAGGCAGGGTAGGAGGAAGGAGGAGGAGAAGGAAGGAGGAGGAGAGGGAAGGAGGAAACTGAGGAAAAATTCTGAATATAGATGAGTAGAGTCATACCAGTCAGCAGTAGGTAATCTCAGCATTGCTCAGTATAGGTGCAATTCACTGGAGGCCTTCATTAAAACCTATAAAATGGGATGGCAAGAATATGGTGATGATGCAAGGGTATGAACTCTTTTAAGAAAAACATCATTTGTCATGATATCTATTTAATACTGAATTGAAAATTTTCCTTCTGGTCAAACACATGTGGTTTTTTAGAGCATAGTCTTTCAATGAGGCAGTCTTTATAAAACAAAGCTAATATCTTTATCTTCACTTTTCAGATAAAAGTGCACACGGATACATAGCAGCCCATCCTTCGGTAAGTGAAAAATTGAAAATGGTCTTGTATGTTTGGTATTTCTGGTAGTCCAACAGAATATAATTGTGCAGGCCCAGTTTTTAGATACACATAGAGTCTTTTTAAAAAATAGTTTAAGAGGTATAATTTAAAATGATAAAATTCACCCTTTTTACAGTGTACAGTTTGATGATGAGTTTTAGTAAATGTATATACCTGTACCACTATCACCATAATCCAATTTTAGAACATTTTCATCACCCCAATAAGGTCTCCCAAGTCTGCCTAGAGTTAACCCCATCCACCCCACCCTAGCCCTAGGGCATCACTAATATGATTTTATGGATTTATCATTTTGGACACTTCACATAAATGAAATAATATAGTATATGACCTTTGGGGATTGACTTTTCTCACTCAGAATATGACCCAATTAAGTAAGTCTTATCACTGTCTCCATTTTACAGATGAGATTCAGAGAGGTGAAATAACTTGTCTAAGGCCATACCACTACATCTTTTGGTGTCACCTGTTCCAACAAACTGAGATGAAGTGGGGAGGGGATAACTAAAAGTCCCATAGATAGTTTTATCAGAGAAGTGACTGGAAAATAAGGAACTTAGCTCAAGGGCCTTGAAAGTGCTATAGTATCTGAAAGAATACTCATACAGAGAAAATCATCTTAGACAAGGCTTCTTTTTGTATGAGTTTCATTTTGATAACCTGATAGAAATAATTTCCTGCCCTGTTTGCTACCTTAAGAGTGAAATATTTTAATTAACATTAGCGAAAGTTTCCTAACTGCTTATTCAGAGTCATAGATAATCAAGCTAATTCTTCCTTTTATAGAGGACAAATGCTAACCTGCTGATGTCACCCTGGGCAGTCAGTGTGACAGCAGTAAATCATTACTGGTGAAAATTAAAGACTCTCAAATAATATGGCAGTTCCTCAAAAATTTAGAAGAGAATTACCATGATCCAGCAGTTCCACTTCTGGATGTATACCCAGAAGAACTGAAAGCAGAGTCTTGAGTAGGTATTTATACACCCATATTTGTAGCAGCAATGTTCATAGTAACCAGAATGTGGAAGCAATCCAAGTGTCCATCAACAGATGAATGAATAAACAAAAGTGGTATATCCTTACAATGGATTATTAGTCAACCTTAAAAAGGAAGGAAATTCTTACATATGCTACAACATGGATGAACCTCTAGGACATTATGCTAAGTGAAACTATCCAGTCACAGAAAGAAAAATACCATGATTCTGTCTATATATAAGGTACCTAAAGTAGTCAGTATCATAGATACAGAAAGTGGTTGCTGGGTGAGGTAGAAATGGGGTGTTGTTTAATGGGTACAGAGTTTCAGTGATGAAAAGAATTCGGGGGATGGATAGCAGTGATGGATGCACAGCAATGTGAATATACGTAACTCTCCTGCACTGTACACTTAAAAATGGTAAATTTTATATTATGTCTATTTTACCACAACTAAAGAGAAAACTTAAAAGACTAAAGGCTCTGGACTTAAGTTGTTAGTCTTTTCCTCCACTTACAAGTGGAGGCCACTTGGGGAAAGTGGCTTGATTTCTGTGACCCTCTGTTTCCTCAGTCTTAGCTGGGAATACTAACAATACTTGCTTCCTAAAACATGTGTGACTATTGAATATGATAATGCATATAATATACTTAGTACATTTCCTAGCACCTACTATGTGTTCATTAAATGTAAGCTACTACTGCTGCTGCTTTTAGATGGCAACAAGGACGAATACTCATTCTCTCCACACATGAGACTTGCATGAGGCCCTGGTACTGGTGCCTTGCTCAGAATTCTCAGAACAGAGCAGAAGGTAGCCCTCCTGTTCTCACTGCTCATTGCCCTCCTGCTGCTTCTTTGCCGTGACAGCTTCCTGAACTCCATTGAAAACAGCACATGAAGGAAGATGATAACAAAGTGGGAAAGACAGAAATGCCAACCTTCCATCATCAACACATACCTTACCTCCCTTGATTTAATTACTGTCATTATTGTGCAATACTAGATAGGTATGTTGACAAATAGTTGTTATCTCTTTAGGGAGGTCAGTTATTTTGAACACCAACTTCCTAGGATGGTCCATGTGTTAGTTTTTATTGTGAACAGCTTTTATCTCCTAAGACACATTGGCCTTTTTTTAGCTTGCTTCTATTCGTTTTACTTGTAGAATTAAAACTAAATCTACATAATGTTCAAAATATTCCATCAGATCAGGAAAGAAACTAATGAACTCACTGTTTGAAGATAAGAACAACTGGAATTTACTTTTTAAAACATGTATCTATCAAGTGCCTCCTTATCAAAACTAGGAAATTTAGAGCTCAGTCGAGTAAGGGAAGAGAAATATAAATATAAAGAAGCACAGTACCATATGAATCATGTTACACACCATAAAATATGTTCATTTTCTATGAGAATTCAAAGAAAGGAGCTTCCTTTTATCTGGGGAGGGATAAAGGAAGCAGGCCCTTTTCAAGGGCCTAGTACAAAATACGCACTTGGTACATATTTTGAATGTTGAATTAGAAAAATGCTTCATAGAAAATGTGGAATTTGAACTCGATCCTAAAGTTCAGATGCGATTTGGATCTGTGAACATACAGAAGGGTAGTCTTGGCAAAGGGAAAGCATAATAAAGGGCATGGTAGTGAAGAGAGCAAGGGGACAAAGGGGTATGAATTTGAATGAAGACTGAGATGCAAGAAAAGGAATCATAGGAGTTCAGCTTTGAAAGTTAGGTTGGAGCCAAATCATAGAAGCCCTTAAATAGTATTCTAAGGAATCTGGTCTAAGTAAGTGTACAGGGGGAAGCCCTTGAAGTTTTGTGGAACAAGAGAGTTAAGTTATTAAAGCTTATGAAGGGTGATTTGATCACACATGTTCAGAAGGAATTAAGGACAGAAGGTAAGACTGGATGAAGGGAAACCGACTGGGGAGATATTGCAAGTATCCAAGGCCAGAGGTGATGTGGGCCTACGTGAGACAGTGGCAGTGGGAATGGAGATTAGATTTAAATTCCAGAGATATCTAGGTTACTGATTAGATGTTGGAGGAAAGGTTTCGGTCAAAGATAATTGCAGGTTTTGAATGATATGCGGGTAGCCAAAAAGATGAGGACATTATCTTTCAAGAGGTGCATATTTCTGTAAGAAGATGCCGAGTTCCCCATCAGGCAACTTGAGTTCAAAGGGCTGGCCGAATTTCCAGATGGAGATAATTGATTAAACTACTTGACTAAGGGTGGGTTTCTATTGATCAAATGAACTAAATTTGGAACCTTAAGGTCAAGTTGGATCACTTTTTTGGGACTCAGTAACTTAGGACTATGGAATTGCACTTTATGTACTTCTTGTGGTTTTAAGAGGAGGTTGTACTTCACACTGCTTGTGCTTTTGTTGCATTAGAAACACTCCCAGTAGACCTAGCTATCCTATAGGGTGTGACTTCATGGGATTAACAACGCCTTCTGAATTGTTTACAAGTTTCAGCATCTTCTAGTAGCCTGGATGGGAATCAAAATAGAAACAATGTTGTAGTCACTAAATGTGTTAAACTAATAGCTATATAATTAATGTGGAGTTAATGATGCCTCCCATAGTCGTAGGAATCTGATTTGCTTCTCATCCATCACAAATTCGTTGGTATTAGTGTTATTAAATACTAAATACTGTTCAGGGACCTACTCTTCAATTTGAGGCTATTTTGACATTTGTGTATATTTATTGTATTATCGGGGCTTCCCAGGTGGCGCTAGTGGTAAAGAACCTGCCCGCCAGTGCAGGAGACACAAGAGATGCGGGCTTGATCCCTGAGTCAGGAAGATACCCTGGAGGAGGGCATGGCAACCCACTCAAGTACTCTTGCCTGGAGAATCCTATGGATAGAGGAACCTGGAGGGCTACAGTCCATAGAGTCCCAGAGAGTCAGACACGACTGAAGTGACAGCACACACACACACATTTATGCCATATCCAGATGCATGCTCTTATCTTTAGGCACAAAATAGCCCTTTTCTTGTTGACAAACTGTCAGCAGTCAACACAATGACAACTGGCCTGGTACAAATTCAAGAATTTATTAGCAATTTGATTTTTACAATATATTCATTGATTTAAAAAACATTAAAACTCAAAAATGTTATATGAATAGTTCACTGTTTTTGAGCTCAGTAGAAAATGAAAGGAATTTTTTAAATCTCATGGTGCTTAAATCCTGACCTCAAGTTATCTCTGAGTGTGTGCAGGTCCTGGCCACCAAACTGCAGACAGTTCTGCTAATGTGTAAAAGATGAAATTCCCTCCTATCCCTACATGCTTAAATATCTTATCTTCCTTTTCTCATTTCTGAAGAAAAACAATGAAGAGTTAATACCTGGTCTTTGTTTTTATCCTAAGAGTACAAAAACAGCATCAGAGCCTCCTTTGGCTCCTCCTGTGTCTGAAGAAGAAGATGAAGAAGAGGAAGAAGAAGAAGATGACAATGAGCCACCACCAGTCATTGCACCAAGACCAGAGCATACAAAATCAGTAAGTCCAAAGTGACTGTTTCCAAATGATTCAACAGATGTCCTTTGAAACAATCCTAGAGTTCGAAACTAGTTGATGACCCAGTATCTACTGAGCATCTGTGTTCCCAGAACTAGAATGAGTGAGTGAAAGTCGCTCAGTCGTGTCCAACTCTTTGTGACCCCATGGACTATACAGTCCATGGAATTCTCCAGGCCAGAATACTGGAGTGAGTAGCCTTTGCCTTCTCCAGGGCATCTTCCCAACCCAGGAATCGAATCCAGGTTTCTTGCAATGATAGCTCAGTTGGTAAAGAATCTGCCTGTGATGCAGGAGACCCTGATTCGATTCTTGGGTCAGGAAGATCCCCTGGAGAAGGGATAGGCTACCCACTCTGTTATTCTTGGACTTCCCTTGTGGCTCAGCTGGTGAAGAACTAGAATCTAAGATACAAATTTGGTTCGGGCTACTATTTAGAGATACAGATTAGCACATGAAAGCAAAAGAATAATACCAAACAATATATAAATAAGTGCTAAATTTTAAAACCATGGCAGAAGTTAAGCTAGAGAATGAAATCCATGGGAATCATGTAAGAAGTATTGCATCAGCAGAGGAACCAAGACCACAATTAGCACAGCATGTTTGGGGGCCTCAAAAGACTAACTCCTATGAGCTTTCAAGGGCAGTATACTTGAAGCATTGTAAAGTTTTTTTTTAAATAGAAATCAGTTGTCTTTAAAAGCTTATTAAAGGCTGAGGGGCAGGGTGGAGGGAGGGATGAATAGGTGGAGCACAGAAGAATTTTAGGGCAGAGAAAATATTCTGTATGCTACCATAATGATGGGTGCATATCATTACGTTGTTGTTTAGTCACTCAGTCTTGTCCGACTCTTTTGCAATCCCATGAATTTTCCAGGCAAGCATACTGGAGTGGGTTGCCATTTCCTTCTCCAGGGGATCCTTCTGACCCAGGGGATTGAACCTGCGTCTCTTGCATTGGCAGGTGAATTCTTTCCACTGAGCCACCAGGGAAGCCCACATGTTTATACACTCATCCAAACCCATAGAATCTGCAACATTAAGAGTGAACCATACGGTTGTTGGATTGAAAGTGATGAAAAATAGGATACTTGAATATCATAATTCTATTGATCCAGTCTGTGTGTGGCCAAAAATATAATAGCCTAATGCTACCTTTATTATAGTTTGCTCTTCTAGTTCCTCCTGCTTGACTTCTGTAGGTAAATACAGTTCGGTAAATACCTCTACAGAAATTGATAGTCCTGGAGGCTGCCATCTCATATACAAGATGATAGGAGACAGAGAAGGCATTTCCGGAAAGAAAGAATCAAGGCAGAAGGTCAAACATAAATTTTGAGAATTAGAAAAGAGATAGCAAGTATACTCAGACCATAAAACTTTAGGAAGATGATGTAATTATCTAGGGTTATATAACTATTTAGTTACAGAATTTTCACTAGTATCTGTATCACCCACACTCGGTGATTTTAGATTCAAGGGACACTGACTTTATTGTTGTTGCTCTTCAGGGGCTAAGTCATGTCTGACTCTTTGCAACTGCATGGACTGCAGCATGGCAGGCTTCCCTGTACTTCACTGTCTCCCAGAGTTTGCTCAAATTCATGTCCATTGAGTCAGTAATTGAATATATTAATGATCTACAAAAATTGATGCTTCTAGAGTCATAATTGTAAAGGATACATTTAATAATTATGAAAGTACATGATAATAAATCATTGTGTGTATGTTTTTAAAAAAGAGTGAACCACATGTAAACTGCAGACTTTCATTGATTCTGATGTGTCAGTATTGGTTCATCAATTGTCTTTAACTTATAACAAAACTTTTTGTCTTTAAGATCTACACTCGTTCCGTGGTTGAATCGATTGCTTCACCAGCAGCACCAAATAAAGAGGTCACACCACCTTCTGCTGAGAATGCCAATTCCAGTACTTTGTATAGAAACACAGATCGGCAAAGGAAAAAGTCCAAAATGACAGATGAGGAGATCCTAGAGAAGCTAAGTGAGTTTTTTTCTGCCATCATCTGTTTCTTCATGGGAGCATTTCTCATAAACCACTTTGAGTGGGAATTAAACCTTTAAAAATTTGAACCTGCTTGCAGGCTCCCTGACATCATGAGATAAAAAGTTTGAGATGCACTGTGTATTTTAAATCTCTACCTCCCCTTACTCCTAATTACACAGAAACCAAATATTTTCACTTGAAAAAAATCAATTTAGAGGAAAACTTCACTAAATGAATTAAGTAGTAAGTTTTATTTTAAGATTATACCTCCCCCCAAAGAGATGAAACAGTCTGATGAAAAATATCCTATGATCATACCCCAGGGATGCCCACCTGATCAATCATGATAGATAATTCAACCTCAGAATCCAACACAGTCAATCAAAATGGGCAGCCACAATAAAATAGCCCTTCCTCTTAATTTAGGAGCATTGCTGTATGGACAGGAAGTCAGGGCCAGCAGATGCTTTCAGCCTCCTACTTGCAGTGTTATTAGTATATCCATGCTTGTGCATACACAGTTGCTCCATTTTACAAAACACTCCTTTTCTAGTTACCTTTCTGGGTCAGAGACTTAAAAAAAAATTCTCTGTTGAAAAGAGTCAAAGTTCTGTGAAGCATACTCATTAAACTCATACTCCAAAAGCATCTAACAAATTGCAAGTTTTCTACACTTTATGCCCTCAATCTAACTCCTACTCATCCTTCAAACCTCAGCTCAAAAGATGCCTCCTCAGGAAAGCTATCCTTGTCTCTCTCAGTATGAGTTGAGGGATCTTTTTACTGTCTCTATCATGCAATGGTTTGATAGCATCACCGACTCAATGGACATGAGTTTGAGCGGACTCCGGGAATTGGTGAATGACAGGGAAGCCTGGCATGCTGCAGTCCATGTGGTCTCAAAGAGTCAGACATAATTTAGTGACTGAACTTTGAACCACTGTAGTAAATAATCCCACTGTACTTGTCTGTCTTCTTCACTAGACCAGGAGCTCTTTAAAGATGAGGTTGTGTCTTCTTTTCCCACATGTCCACTTCTAATAAAGTGCCTGGTACATAAAAGGACTTAATGGATGCTTTTTGATTGAATGGGTGAAAAAATGAACAAACAAGTGCCTCTTGACCGGGTTCCTATTTGTCTGTTCTCTGCCAGAGTCTTTTGGAGGAAACAATCAAAAAACAATTTCCTGATATTAAGAAGCTTACAATTTTATTTGTAAGATAAGGTTTAATAGTGTGCCACAATTAGAGAAGAGGACACCTTCTTGGTCATGCAACAGTCCCTCTAAAAGAACTCAGAAAAGGAAGAGAATGGTGTAGGCTATAGGCCACAGGAAGACTCTGCAGAGGTGGTCGTAGGGCCATTTTGCCCTCCAGGGGACATTTGGCAGTATCTGGAGACATGTTTATTCTCACAGCACAGGGAATGCCACTTGCATCTAGTAGATAGAGGCTAAGGATGCTTCTAAACACTGTAATGCAAAGGATAGGCCTCTTTCCTTTCTCCTCCGCAGCAAAGAATTATTCAGCCCCAAATGTCAACAGTGCTGATGTTGGAACAATCTGAGACAGAGGTATTTGGGAAGGCTAAGTTTCGGGTTACAGTAGTCAGTAAGCGCTCAGAACTGGAACTGAGGGTTTAGCCAATTGACTTTACTGTACATGATTAAACATGCCTCTTTAGTGCTGATACCAACTATTTCCTGAATAAAAGCAGAAATAATTCCCATTTACTAAGTGCCTTCTCTGCTGGCCACTTTACATACATTATCGAGTTTAATGTTCACCGTAATTCCTTGTGGTAGATTTTCCTAGCCTCATTTTACAGATCAGTGAAAGTAAGCCTCAAAAAGCTAAAGTTACCAGATCACCAAACTAATGCGTGATGTAGCCAGAGTTGGAATTCAAATCTCTTTGCCTTTGGAGCTTGTATTATTTCCATTATTCAGTTTGCTTCTGCATATGCTGGCTGTCTCTTTGTGTAAAAGGGATGAATAAAGGAAAGAATTGCCTGGATAATTTCAGTTCAGGTATTCTTGGAATACTTAATGCCTTAGTTTTCTTTATTTTGCACATCCTATTATATCAGATTTTTAAAAATATGACAGCCTTGCTTTAGTAAAAATGATTATTTGATACCTATTACAAATCTCAATAGATTTATTATAATGTAGACACAGCCCATGTCAAAGTGGACTCCACTATAAGCGGGGAAAGTGGGAAGGGTGGCCTCACCTTTAGTCTCAGGAATCTGATTACTGTGAGGTGGGTAGCCCAGACCACAAAGCTGTCAGGCTGTTCTTCCATGCAGATAGCAATTGTGAGGGCCAGCCCTTGGGACCATTCATTAATGGCTGAAATGAACAGATCATCTTTCAGTTTTACACAGATGGATGGCCTGGGTCTGGCTTGTTCATTGTGGTCTGGTCTGAATCTGATGGAAAATAAAGAAACCCCTACATTTTACTGAATTTTTTCAAAAGGTGCTGACTGTCAGCAAAATTGTGCAATCCTAGAAATTGGTTTCGGGCTTCCCTCCTCTGGGCCCCACACCTCCTTCTCTCGCCGCCCCCACCCCAGTTGAAATTTCCCACTGAAAATTCTTTCTCTTAATTTACCCTCAAATAGAGCCAATATGAGTTTAGAGAGTTCTTTTGTTTTTTGTTTGGTTGTTTGCAGAAATCAGAATGTTCATTATGCCAAAAAGAAAATCTTTTCATGGTTGGACAACTTAGTTTATTTGATATGTAGGACAATACACTGATTGACTTTTCTGTCACTGAAACCGCATCATGAGCCCCATTTTTAAATACTAGTATTTAGTGATTTCTTAAATCCTTGTCCTTTAAAGTGAATGGTTTGTTTCTCATTTAGAAAATTGCTCTGGTTGGAAGTTTTTCTGGTATTGCTATCATTTTTTCCTTTTGATTTTGACTGGCTGATTTTCTTCACTTTGTGCCTATTGTGTCACAATGTTTTTTTAATCCTATCTTTAGTATAATTTATGAATACAAATTATAGTGGCTCTGATGAAAGAGGTCACTGTAAAAGCTTGTTTTGTAATTCAGAATTGTAAACAAGGTTTCCTGTTCACTTGCTTTGCATCAGTAGATGGCAGCACACACTCTCCTGTGACTGGTAATGGACGTGGGGGTGCCATTTTATTTGAATAGCAGTTAAATTCAGAAGCAGGAGTGCATCAAAATGGTTGTCTTTTGGTAATTCTTATGGGACTTCCCTGATGGCTCAGCTGGTAAAGAACCCACCTGACAATGCAGGAGACCTAAGAGATGTGGGTTCAATCCCTGGCATCCCCTGGAGAAGGAAATGACAATCCACTCCAGTATTCTTGGCTGGGAAATCCCATGGACAGGGAAGCCTGGTGGGCTGCAGTCCTTGGGGTCGCAAAAGAGTCAGACATGATTGAGCATGTGCACACATATACACACAGTCCTTATGAAAGGATTCATTTCCAGTTTTTGTTATTGTTGTTTTTATCCTGCATACCACAGAAATAAAAGTTGAATCATTTACTACCATAAAACACTGTTAACTAATGCCTGCCAATTGGATTTGGTCATAATTCAGAAAGTGGCTTGGGCTGAAGCTTACTTAATTTTACTCAGTCTACGGAAAACAGTTTGCTCAGCAACTTATAGTATAACTTTCTTAGAAGACTTTAAACTATTAATAAAACTATGCTTTGAAGTGACTTTAAAATCATCATTTCACTAAAAAAATTAAGCTCCAGGTCCTTACTAACCATTAATAGCTAGCTTGAATAAGAGTAGTTCACAGTGTTGTAGAAATCTGGGAGGCAATTTGAAAAATGAAATAGCAACTCAGGAATCATTAAATTGGTGATAGATATAACTCAAGTAAAATACATTTCTGTCTTAAAATATGGGGCATTTACAAAATGAAATTCCTAATTTTATTTGTTTTAAATTCAACAGATATTTATTGAGTAACCAATGTATTCCACACACAGCTTTATATGAAGAAGCACTGGGGATACAGAGATGCATAAGACATGGCTCCTGTCCTTAAGACACGATCTATAAGGGGATGTCAAATACATAGATATAGACAGAAGGATGATGGATTAAGTACAAAGAAGGAGAGCAAGAACAAAAGCAAGAAAAAAGCAAAAGTGTCAGAGAGAGAGAGAAGGTGCAATTGTAGTACAGAGAAGTTATTAACTTTATTCCAAAAAATCAAGGAAGACTTCCTAGAAGAGGCTTAACTGAAGCTGAGTTGAAGGATGCATAAGAACTTGCCAGGAAGAAAACTTAGAAGGACATTCTAGGCAGAGACTAGCACACAAAGGAGGTATAAAGGCATATGCTTGGGAATGTTAACTCATTCAATACCACCTGAATATAGAATTGGTGGTAGATGTTGGTACTAGAATTTTAAGAGAAGAAGCCAAATCACGTAGCAGGATCTGATCATGAGCTGCAAGTTGTTCATTTTGGTGACAGCATAAGGTTCTAGTGGGGGAGATGAGATGGAGAATGACGCAGGAGCCAGATATGAAGGACCTTGGATTCCATGCCAAGGTGTTTGAGCTTTACCCTGTAGGTGCTGGGGAAGCCTCCAGGAGCCCTGAACCGGAGAATCACATGATCAGGTCTGTACTTGGAGCATACTGATAGAGGTGTGGAGCCTAGACTCAAGTGGGTGAAGGCTGAAAATTTTGAGTCCAGTTAGGAGGCTGTTTGAATAGTTCAAACAAAAATGAGGGCCCACCTAGAACAGTAGTAATGAGGAAATGATAGATTCAAAGGTATCTAGGAGATATACAGAGATAGGCCCAGGACTCAGTAGAAAATTCCTTGTGGGGATGAAGGTAAGGGATGAGTCAAGGTGATTACCAGATCTCTGACTTGGGCTCCTGATAAGTGGGATGGTAGTACCATTGACTGAGATTGGGAATACAAAAGGAAAAACCTTACAGTAACTCACATATGGTGAGTCTTCTTTAACCTAACTGGAACATGAACTTGCTTGTCTTACAGAAAACAAACAACAACAACAAAAACCTAACCACCATGGATGAACAACCCATGAGTGAAACATTTATTATTTTTTCAAGTATACTATGTACTGGTAATTCTGAATTAAATTGTTCACTAGCCCAGAAAGTAGATCATGTCTAAATTAGCACAAAGTATTATCTGTAGCACACAGTTTAGCTCTGGAAAACATTTTCTTGCTCACATTCATTTGGTTAACGGATTCAGTGGAAGCCATTGTTCTGGGCACTGAAGTTACCAGAATGAAAAGACAACGTTCTGGCCCTCAGAAAGAAGCATGTATGGGACTTCCCAGGTGGTGCTAATGGTAAAGAACCTGCCTGCCAATGCAGGAGATGTAAGAGAAGCAGGTCTGATCCCTGGGTAGGGAAGATCCCCTAGAGGAGGGCTTGGAAACCCACTCCAGTATTCTTGCCTGGAGAATCCCAGGGACAGAGGAGGGGCCTGGCGGGCTACAGTCCATGGGGTCACATAGAGTTGTACACAACTGAAATGACTTAGCACGCACACAAGTCTCATTAGAAGGATCAGAGAAGAATTCACAAGGGATGACTTGATATTATACTTACATAATAAATAGGAATTCACGGAATTGATAAGAAAGGGAAAGGGGGAGCATATCCAAAGACCAGATCCTTGGATAGTGATGGTGTTGCTAGGATATAAAGTAGGAATGTTGGAGAGGAGAGGAATAATATAAGGTTAGGCTTGATTGGGTAGGGGCTAGATGCTGCTCGATGGTAAAGGGCCTTCTATGCCAGACAAAAAATTTGAACTTGATCCTGTAGTAAGGAGGAACTTTTGAGGATTTATGGATAATGGAGTGAAATCACTCTGAAGTAGGCTGACCTTACATCTCAGTTTACCCAAGATAGTCTTGGTTTATGAATTATATTGTCACCCTATTCCAGAGGCATTGTGAAAAAGGAATTAGAGAAGGCAGAGTTTAGAGTTAGGTAATGACTAGGACAAATGTTTGGACAATAGATATTGAGGGCCTAAACAGTGTCAGTGGCCATGGGCATGAAGAGGAGAAAATGGATAAGAGTGACAATTAGCAGATAGACTCCATAATTAGATCATGTGTATAAATCTTGTTTTACTGATTCCACACTTCTTTGAATAGGGGCCATGTTAGTAAGATATAACTTAAAGGTAATGATACTGATGTTTAAGATAATTTAAAAGTACTGATACTGATACTGATACTGAGGTTCAGAGAGAAAAAGGAGAGCTGAAAGTATCCAGGTAAATGATTTCCTTCAAAGTTGTCCTCTTGCAAACTTATTCCCATGATGCTGCTATGACACAGAATTTTTCTGTACCTATTTGAGCATTGCATTTGAAGAGTCAATGTCATTTCCTTTAAATTCATTCTGAGTAATGGCAAGTATTGATCCTCTGAGTAGTGGATTTGATATTCTGAACTTGTAAAACCAGTATTTTTTCCCAGAGCCAAATAGGATAAATGAATGGTTTTCTTGTGTGGTTTGTCAACTTATTCCACAGTGTTTGAAACAAAAACAGTAAATAGATAAGTGCTTGCCCAGGGATGAATTGGTAAACAAAGAGGGAATCCAGAGTGACTGCTAACCCATACAAGATTTTTTAGGATGATAAAAATGTTCTAAAATCAGATTATGGTAAAATTTAGTAAATTTGTGCAAGCCTAAAGATTTATTCAAAGCCATTTAATTGTGCACTTTAAATGAGTGAACTTGATGGTATGGAAATCATATCTCAGTTAAACTGTTAACAATGTGTTGAATGCTAGCAGGGTCCTAGGTTCAAGGATGTGTGGAGATTTTTAGGATTTTATTTTATAATTATACAATTTTTAATTGAAGTATAATTGTCTTAAAATATTATATTACTTTCAGGTGTCTGGGGAATGTATGTTTTTTTAAAAAAAACAACAAGCCTCATTACTAAACTGTGTTCTTTATTAGACCCATCCCCATCCCCCATTGCCCTTAGTATAGTACTGGGTACATATTAATTGCTCAAGAGATATTTACCCAGCATAACTGAATGTGCTGCAGAATTGAATGTACTCAACTTCACTCTAATTCAGAGAAGATAGTGATTTTATTAAATACTGTGTTCAAGTCCTTAGATGTTTTTATCTCCTAATCTACAGTATCCTTTTATGGGAACTTTTTTATAAATGTTGGGTTATGATTAGTTATTTTTGTTTCCCAAACATCATCAATTTTGAGTATAAGCATCTGGGTTATTACTACTAGTTTAATTAATATATTACTGTTTATTACTTTAATAAAATTTATCATTATCCATATAAATTTTAGAAACCACATGAAAATGTTTCTCTAACATTTTATTTGTCATTGGCTCTAGCATCTTAAATTTTAGTATTAAATAGAGGAAAATCAATCAACTTAAATGTCTCTCTCTCTCTTTCTTCCCTCCCTCCCCTCAGGAAGCATTGTAAGTGTTGGTGACCCAAAGAAAAAATACACAAGATTTGAAAAAATAGGTCAAGGGTAAGTGATTATATATATGAAAACTGTGTGTGCATGCTTGCGTGCACATTAGCTTATAGGAAAACTCCTGCCCCCTCTACATCTGTATGGATGTTATGCTTAAGATCCTGTTTCATTGTCAAACTGTAAAGTGACAGGTGGTGGGAAAGGTCCTTATTGAATGATTTAGAGGTGGGCAGAGTTGATGGATTGAGTAAGGAAGAAATAGATTAGTAATCCCTGAATGGGATGGAGTTCATCATTTTCACCCAGTATGCTTATAAGAATGGCCCTGCTGCCAGAGATTTGGTTCAGCAGTCTGGAGTGGGGCCTAGTAACCTGAACTTTGGAGCCGTTTCCTCAAATAATCCTGACCCATCAGCTAGACCTGGAAACCAGGGGGTTAGATCATTCACTGGAGTTAAAGGTGGGAGTCACCAGTTCTACAAGTCAGCTGTAAATAGATATGTTTCTCAGGCCTCGATGTGAAACTAAGCAGGAGTGCCTGAGTAGGCAATCGGCTTTGAAATAGGAAAATGTTTTGTTTAAAGAGAAATGAAGCATTCTAAAGGGGTGTCCTTTAAGGGGAAATGAGACAAGATATTGGGTTGGCCAACAGATTCGTTTGGGTTTTTGGTAAGATGTTACACAAAATCCCAAACAAATTTTTTGGCCAATACAATATTTAGGTATACCAACTCCTGTATGCCAGGAACCAAGATGGCACCCCAGAGGTCTCCTGACTGAGACCGGGGCTGGGAAGAAAGGGATACAGCTGATGTACCTGCAAATTGTGCTATCCCCTCAGCTAATGGAGTCTGTTTTCAGGTAAGAGAATGTAGGATTTCTTCAGCCACCTCACTGCTTTTCCTGGGATTCTTAGGTTCAGAAAATTATATATTGTATATAAATTGGACTATTTTTTGTGATTTTTATATTTTATTTCTTTCTCCCCCTGCCCTGCCCAGCTTTTGTACTAATGTGTCTTTTGGAATTGCCAACTTATGTCAGGAAATGAGGGAAAGGATTCATTAGACATTTTGACTAGAGGATAAGAGGGACACTCGGGGATTGTGCCTGGTAGGAATCAAGGTGAGAAGACCCTAAGAGGGAGGCAGAAACTCAGGGAGAAATATATGGCAGTGTCTTTTTCCAATGGAAACCATAATGGTGATGCATTTGAACTTTCTAGAGAGTAAAATATATACCTGTTTGTGCTCTTGCTTCATCCCTCATCATTTGATGTCACTGGTATTCTCACTTGCTCATTTAAAAAGAGTTTTGTGGGGAAAAAAAAGAGTTTTGTGGTGTCTAGAGGTCCCCTAAAACTTAACAAGTCAAATAGTAGTCCTGCCCATTGCGCTAGGACAGTGCTGTCCAGTAGAGCTTTCCAGGATGGTGGAGATGGTCTCCATCTGCACTGTCCTATGTGGTAACCACTAACATTTGTCTGTATAAAAGTGAAAGTTGCTCAGTCATGCCCAACTCTTTGCAACCCCATGGACTAGGGAATTCTCCAGGCCAGAGACAATGCTGGAGTGGGTAGCCTTTCCCTTCTTCAGGGGATCTTCCCAACCCAGAGATCGAACCCAGGTCTCCCACATTGCAGGTGGATTCTTTTTTTTTCATTTATTTATATTAGTTGGCGGCTAATTACTTTACAATATTGTAGTAGTTTTTGCCATACATTGACATGAATCAGCCATGGATTTACATGAGTTCCCCATCCTGAACTCCCCTCCCACCTCCCTCTCCATCCCATCCCTCTGGGTCATCCTAGTGCACCAGCCCTGAGCACTTGTCTCATGCATCCAACCTGGACTGGCAATCTGTTTCACACTTGATAATATACATATTTCAATGCTATTCTCTCAGATCATCCCACCCTCGCCTTCTCCCACAGAGTCCAAAAGTCTGTTCTATACATCTGTGTCTCTTTTTCTGTCTTGCATATAGGGTTATTGTTACCATCTTTCTAAACTCCATATATATGCGTTAGTATACTGTATTAGTGTTTTTCTTTCTGGCTTACTTCACTCTGTATAATGGGCTCCAGTTTCATCCACCTCACCAAAACTGACTCAAATGTATTCTTTTTAATGACTGGGTAATATTCCATGGTGTATATGTACCACAGCTTTCTTATCCATTCATTTGCTGATGGGCCTCTAGGTTGCTTCCATGTCCTGGCTATTATAAACAGTGCTGCGATGAACATTGGGGTTCACGTGTCTCTTTCAGTTCTGGTTTCCTCAGTGTGTATGCCCAGGAGTGGGATTGCTGGGTTATATGGCAGCTCTATTTCCAGTTTTTTAAGGAATCTCCACACTGTTCTCCATAGTGGCTGTACTAGTTTGCATTCCCACCAACAGTGTAAGAGGGTTCCCTTTTCTCCACACCCTCTCCAGCATTTCTTTATCAGCTGAGCCACAAGGGAAGCCCAAGGATATTGGAGTAGGTAGCCTATCCCTTCTCCAGCATATCTTCCCAACTCAGGAATCGAACCGGGGTCTCCTGCATTGCAGGCGGATTCTTTACCAACTGAGATATCAGGGAAGCTCTGGAGCACTTCAAATGTGTCTAGACTAAATGAGAGCTATTTATTTGCATAAATTTATTTGTTCACACATTTATTGAATACCAACTATGTGCCAGGCACTATGCTAAGTGCAGGAGAAACAGAGCTTGCTAATGATAGTGTGGGCTTTCAAGGAATTTATAATCTATAGTGATGAATGCTTGAACAGGCTAAATAGGATACCTTGGGTGACATACCTACTCAATTCACCAAAGTGTAGGGCAGGATTGGCTTCTGTAGCCATTATTTCCCACCTGGAGTTTTCCTTCTTAGCTTCTAGTGAACTGATTGTTTTATTTAAGTTAGGAAGCTATGGCTTCTCAAGTCCATGTATCAATACAAACCTTAACTCTCTTTTTGTCCAAAAGGTTAACACCATAAGGCAGGTTAAAAAATACAATATTATGTACTAAGAGAACTTGAAAGGGAAAAGTTACCTTTTAGATTTTATTTTAATTGAATTGGGTTCTTTGATGGAGCTAACATTGCAGAGTGATACACAATCCCATAGAGAAATAGCATTCCAGATCTTTGCTGTCCAGTATGGTAGCCATGTGGCTATTGAGCCCCTGAAATGTAACTAGTCCAAATTGAGATATACTGTAATTATAAAATAGGCACCTGATTTCAAAAAGTTACTATGAAATAAATGATGCAAAATACCATAGTAATAAGGTTTATATTGATTATATGTTGAACTGATATTTTAATACATGTTAAGTAAAATGTTATTAGTATTAATGTCACCTTTAAGCTTTTTTAAATATAGTTTCCCCCCAAATTTAAAATATGGCACATGTTAATATGTTTAATGGACAACACTGCCCTAGTTGTAGGTTTAAATGGGAGCTTTTTATTTGTTCATAAAGTGTTTTTTTCAGAGTTGTCTTTTGGGGCATGAAAGATGTTATAATTTTGTTTTGATTCCTTATTCTCCCTAAGACCCAACTGAGCCAAAAACATCATTGAATTTAGAAAAGAAAAAAGTAAGAGATGGTTTTAAATATTTCCCAGATACCAGGTAATGAAGCAAGACTGATTTCTCCAAGAACAAAGATTAGGCTGCCAAGCTATTTTGCATACCAAAGAGATTTCCCCTCCTGGATGGTATTTGTGCTTCTAACCTCTGAAGGTGCAAAAGGAGAGTTCTATATTTCTGCATACCTTTTAAAGTTTTTGCAATCTAAAATGAAAAATCAAAGCAGAAATCGTGCTTGCCACTGCAGAAAGATTTAACATCCCAACAAGTTCATCATTATCAAGAATGATGAAACTGGCAGATAGTTCACTCACAGACCACATTCAGCTTTTAAATAAGCCCTTAGAGTGTTGGGAGTCTTTTTTGGGGGAGGGGGAAGTCCTCAATTTACCTAATTTTATTACAGTTATATTTGATTAGGCTTCATATTCAAAATATTAATTTGCTCTAACCAGCATTATTTTACAGGGAGGAGTTGAATTGACCCCAAGCTATTTGGTTTTACATTTTCTGTTGCATAAATATTGATGGTTCCCCCAAACCTATCCCTTTCTCTGCATTCTTTTTTTTAATTAATTTTAATTTTTAATTGGAGGATAATTGCTTAACAAAGATGTATTGGTTTCTGCCATACAACAACATAAATCAGCCATAAGTACATATATATGTATATATGTATGTATCTCCCTTCTCTCATGAGCCTCCCTCCCACCCTTCCCCCAGGACTCTTTGATTTATCCTTTTTATAGCCTTTTATTGTCTAGCATAGTCCTTTTGTACTTAGCAAATCCCCCTAAAACAGTTTTAATCAACAGCCAGAGTTCATTTGGCCAAGCTCAGAGATTTATATAGCTTCCCCTGTCTGCTTTCCCCATTTCTCTGGATCTGTTTTTGCCCCAATAAATATTTGTTGAACTAATAAAAATGTTTGTCTTTCTAGCTCTTCCTTTCTTCTGTCCTATCTTTTCCTGAGTATATGCATGTCTTTCTAGCTCCTTCTGTCCCTCTCTTTTTTTTCCAATGTGTCTTCAACTGTTTCTCATAATGACTAGATCAGCCTCACATTCTCCTTTGGCTTTATGGCTATTTGTGTGTGTCACATATCTGTCTTTTTTTATCCATGTTGGTTTCACCTTCTGCCCATTTTCACATACACACCCAACTAAAATGGTCATCATATAAAATCAAGATGTATTTACATAGCTATTAAAGATGTAAGCTAGTAACTTAAATCTGTTTATTTACTCTAACTCTATCGTTTATTTAATAAACTCATTTTTTTTTTCATTTTTGAGTAGATTTTTGCTCTCTTCCTAATTTTAAAGGGAATTAGCAAAATATTGATTTCTGTCTAGACCAGGAGAAAAACACTTAAATTAATTTTCCTTTTACTTAAATTGCTCTCAATGGATTTTCCCATGAAATATTGACCCAAATTAGATAAACTAGATTCTACTCTCAATA